CGTGGACGGAGTGGACAAAGTGGACGGAGTGGATGGATTTGGAAGAGTTGGTGGAGTGAACGGAGTAAACGGGTTGGATGGAGCGGACAACGTGAATGGAGTGGACGGAGTGGATGGATTTGGAAGACTTAGCGAATTGAGCGGAGTTGACGGACTGAAATTAGTGGACAAAGTGGACAGAGTGGATAGAGTGGAGAAAGTGAATGTATTTGGAAGAGTTGATGGAGTGGATAGAGTGGATAGAGTGCACAACGTGGATGGCGCAGACAAAGTGGACGGAGTGGATGGATTTGCAAGAGTTTACAGAGTGGATGGAGTGGACAAAATGAATAGATTTGTAAGAGTTGGCAAAGTGGAAGAAGTGGATGGATTTGTAATAGTTGTTGGACTGATTGTTGTGGATAGAGCAGACTGAATGGATAGACTCGGTGAAGTAGATAAGTGAGCATATTAATTGAGCCGTTTATTCAATTGATTAGCCAAAGTGGGCAACGTGGACAGAGTGAATGCAATAGACAGAATGGACAATTAAGACAGGTCTGGCGGATTCACGTTTTCTACTCACACAACGGAAAGGGTGGACGAGGTGAACGAGGTGTACGGAGCCGACAGCTGTTGCGGATTATGGTTCAACCGTACCAGGTGAATGCCCGCGGCCAGAGCGGAAAGCAGGTCGCGGTAACCACGCTCTACGGGTCGGGTGGGTACAGGACGGTTCATGCAAGCAAAAGAAGGTGGATTTCTGACAACCGGAATCAACCAAGACACTTGCAACTAACTAGCCCCAGTTCACATGCAGGACAATCAATGCAAAGTGGCTGTTGCCAAGCGATACTGTCCAATCGGTTCATGTTGTTGGCGCCAACGCAACTGCGATAGGTCGCGATCAATTGGGATCCTGAAATGCCCGCTACCAACCGACAGATGAGTCATTTCTGCCGACACATGCGACGACTCGAAGCATGAGTTTGTGGAGCTGGCCAGTTGGCTCTGGGGTTGTGGAAGACCGTCCGACAGGACAGAATGAGTTGCTGAGGCAGTTGGCTTGGGGGAATTCGTGTTTCCGCCCGACTGGAAACCGAGGAGTGCTCGACTGTTGTGCATTCGTGAC